AAAAAAAACAATTTTATATAAGGAAACTTAATAAAAAAGTTCTTTGCAGTTCTGCAGCTCTTGATTTGCCCTTAATGGCTGCTTCTTCTTTCTTACCAAAAGAGATTTAGTCATTTTTGCAGCATTTTAGCCTATTACCAGGTAATTTGCTCGTTTGAGGGATATCTAGACTCATGGTCACTGATAAGAAGATCCTAAGGGCTACTACTCCCATCAGGTAAGGAAGATGTTTCACTGACTTCCATTCTCTACGTTCCAATTTTCTTATTGGACTGAGATAACATCTATGACCCATAGTTTCTTAGTCCACTAAGAGCTGGAAATGGAGGAACACTTAAAATACTTCCTATAGTTTCCTCTTGAACTAACTTCCCTCCCCAAAACATAAATTTCAGTAATCCAGGAACAACTGAGGAGGGGTTCCTAAACTGATCCTCTCATCTTGGCGAATATAAGTCTTATAAAATTCCACCTTTATTTGATATTTTATCAGCACATGAAATCTGAGAACTAGAAAGTTTTGTAATTTGGGTGCAGATACTAATAACGTCTCTAATCAAGAGAAGATATTTGAATTTTAATCTCAAGCCTGTTCAAAATTGAATGTTTCTTTTCAAAGCACTAATGGAATCAAATGTTTCTTGGACAACTTACCAATAATCTGGTGGTCATTGCTTATCTGAATTTGAATTTATTGCCAGTTTGTACTTGCATTGTTTTTTAATAAAAAAAATAAATTATTGTATTAATTTCTAAGTCTTCTTTCCTGTAAGGTGACCTTGTAACATTTTTTCCTAAGTTCATGCTTTGTTGCTGTTTCCCCCACCAGGTTTCTTTCTCATATGTTATTATTAGTCTGGCTCATTTTTCCTAATCAGTCTTCTCATCTACCCAGAGCATTCATAGCTTGTAGTTTGGAGAGACTGCAAATGACACCAAAGAGCAGAAAAAAATACTGTTTTTCCTTTATTCTATTGTTCAAACCTGCTTCGTGGTTATTGTAGGGCTGGTTGAATGTACATATTGGAAAGAACTGTTGGCATTTAACAACTCTGAAGATTATTTCCTCTCCCTTTTTCTGTTCAGATAAATCAATGTGGTGATTAAGGCTAGGTGAATGATAAAATTGCTAACAGGAAAGGCAACTCAAAGCAGTTAATACTAATAAAAGGGAAAAAAAGCTTTCTGCTCTGAAGATCAATGGAAGTATGCAGGACAGGACTCAAAAGCCTCTCAGGTTATCCATACAGCAAAGAACACTCAGAAAATTCAACCAAGACTGTAGGAGTCCATTAATACTCATCAGGATTCGTGACAAAAAGTAAGATAAATGGCTGAACTCTTAAGGCTTCAAGGCCAGCTTGCTCCCTGCAAAAAGATAAACGTAGGCACTTGTGGGAAGTGCTGTTGCAACATTCGATCAACAATGTAGCATGTGCCAGTGCCAGACCTTCTTCGGGGGGTGTGGCTGTACTTAGAGCAGACCTCCGAACAGAACAACTTTTGTTCAGGCTCTCAGGATGTCCCCAAGTGCTCCCGTGAAGCCCGTGCAGCCACGGGGCACCAAGGCACTGGGGACCAGGCTGCCCATCTCCACCGCGGTGCCAGGTCCAGCATCCATGGCAGTCACACAGGAGAGAAGCGACACCAGCTCTGAGGTTCTCCTCATGTCTCTTTGGTTCCTCTTGGCTGGCAGCAATGCAGAGATTTTGGATACTCCTCTTTGTAGCCTTTAGCAGCTGATAGCACTCAGTGTCCCCATCCTATCTCACCTCTGTGAGTCATCAGGATTTCTTCACTGCTCTTTTTCTCCAGAAATGGGTGTCTTGCAAAACTGCACTCAGATGTGCTGGGTTGGGTAATTTGGATGCTAATAGCATAGTCAAAGCTGACAACTCTTCTGCTGCTGTGTGCTTCATCCAGCGACCCCATGCCTAGACATTACCATTCATTCTCCATTCACAGCAAATTCCAGCCTTTCTGTTAGAACTGTTTACATCCAGAGGTAGAGAAAACATTCTAGATAGCAAGCACACCCAAACCCCACACATCTCTGCTAATGAATGGGACAGGTCACTAGTGATGAAGAACTATGAAAAGGCTGAGATGCTCAAAGCTCTCTTTCCCTTGTTCTTTGCTAAGGTCAGCTCTTAGGGTTCACAGAGCTCTGTGCCTAGTTTGGCAAGGTTTGGAGGAGGAGACTTTAGCAGATTTGGCAAATTATGTTTGTCAGTCCTTAGGGCTGAACAGGAGCTGCTTGTAAAGGTGCTGAGGACAGTGAGTAACTATCACCTTCTAAAGGCTGTGTCAATTAGATGGGATTTCCGGTTACTGGAAAAAAACGAATGTCACATCCATCATCAAAGCAACGTTCAGGAAACAGCAGAGTAGTCATCCTTACCAAGTATCTCTCTCAGAGGAGATAATGAAGGAAATGTTCCTGGAGGCCGTTTCTGGGATGGCAAAGGATGAGTCAATTCAGAAAAACCAGCACAGTTCCACCAACACAATTGCCTTTGATCATGAGAAAATTTGCTCTATGACTGAAGTGATAAGAGCAGCACATATTGATTTTAGCAAGGGTCTTTTGCTGTGACATCCACAGCATTTTGGACTACTTTGTAGTCCAGTAGGGACTGGGTAAGTAGATGAGGTGGATGGCAGTCTGAACCACTCTACTTAAAAAGTAGTGGTGACCAGTCTGAAATGAAACTGACATCTGGTTATGAGTGATGTTCCTCGGGGCTGAGTAGGGGAGTTAGACTAGAGGAACTCTAGAGGTCATACATTTTCCTCTGATTTTGTGATGAAATCTTGCAGGACACTCCTTAGAATTTGGGTCCTCGTATTGAAACCACAAATTATTTAGGTTTCTGTGGATTAATGGGTTAGACTGCAGCCTTTCCTTGATTCTGAGCTCATGCAGCTGATTCTGCATGATATGAAGTGGCACTGCACCATGAGGCATTTCCAGCTAAGAAGCTTCTCACTTCAAGATCTTCTGCTACGGTGTCCTGATCAGCAGTGACATCCCCCCAACTCCAGAACACATGCATTGCTTGAAAACAATCCATTCTCCAAGCTTCATGATCTGAGCACTTGTAATTAAAAGTAGGAAGTGAAAATGAACCAATATTGAAAGAGAACTTCTAGTAAGCATCATTTATTATTTTAGGCCCACATCCTTTTCTTGGAGTGTCCCCATCTCACAGCTGTTCTGATGCTGAATAGGCTTTTCTTTACAGTACTTGTGCAGTCTTTTGACTTCACTAACTTCCAGTTAAAACAGTTCACACTTGTGCAGGGAACTTGCCTCTTTCATGTAACCTTTATACATTCCTCTCTCTTTGTAGTACAACATTAACTAATTAATTAAATTAACAGCTGGTTTCTTTATTTCCATCTGGAAAATTTACTCTGCTCCAGCTCCCCTCCCTAAAGTTAAACAACACTTAACAAACTTTCTTAAGATACAGGCTTTTCATTGTTCTCTTTGCACAAGATCTGGTCAGATACTGTTGGTCTTTAAAAGCTGTTGTATTCGCCAGCAGAAATGCACAGACTTCACAATTCAATCAGAGTTCATTAGGTTTAGACACATTTTCCGAATCTTTATATGATTACTTTAAAGTTTTTGCATTTTTTTTCCCATAAAAATGTTTCACCTGGGATGGAGTTTGCATGCCAACTATGTCACTAGAGAAGTTGTTTCCTGCTGCATTTAATAGTACTGTAATGATTTCACAGTTAGCTTGTTGGATTTTGCTGACCCGCAGAAGCAGCTTGTACAATCTGTTTTGTGCTCCTATCTCCTGTCGGGTCTACACAGCAGGCAAAGGCTTTTCTCAAGGCTCTTTCAACCCCTCTTCTGTTATTTCTCAGGTAATTGCAGTAGTTAGTAGGAAATGTAATGTTTATATAGCCTTTAGCATCTGGGCTGTATTATTTTCTCATGCATTGTGTATCTAAGATACTAGATTGAATTTGGTCTTTAAAGGCTGTGTTATTCTCATTAAATGGCTCGAAACAGAATGCTGTAAAGTAGCACAGGTTTGGACAGAACAAAACACAGACTTTTTAGCCATTCAGTGGCTAAGATGGAAACATAAGCAAAAGTGATTTTTTTTTTCTTTTGTGAATATTTTAAGGATTTTAAAAGATTTAAAAGATTTTTGAAGTTTTTAAGCACATAGAAATCGCGGTTGAATCTTTTTGAAGACTTAGTTTTCCCAGCTTCAGTTGTGTGGAATCAGATTTGAAACTCTTCTCGTTTTGTGGATGTTTTGAGAGCGCTGTAGTACACACCGAACCTGAACTCCAGAAAGCTCTCCTCGGGTGTCCGCAGTGGTGGAGCAAGTTTAACTGAGTCCCAGGTCTCGTTTTGCCCTGTATCTAAAGTATCTTATTTTCACGTTGTGCCTTTCCTGAATCCGGCCCAGCCGGTCTGGACCTGAGGGGTTCCGGGACACGCTTGGCCGGGGGATCCGGCGCTGCGCGGGTCCCGGCGCGGGCCCCCGACGGCTGCTCCCCGCGCCCGGACAGAAGCGCCCGGCGGTGCAGGCGGCCCGGGCGCGGTCCCGGCACCTGCGGCTGCCGCCGGTCCGGTCCGGCCTGGCCCGTCCGTGCCGAGCCGCGCTGCCCTGGCAGCGGGGCCGCTCGCCGCCCCGCCCCGGTGACGTCACCGCGCGGTGACGTGTCGCCCGGCGGCGCGGGGGCCGCCGGAAGCGGCGGGAGGCGGCGCGGAGCGGAGCGGGGTTGGTGCCGCCGGAGCGGCAGCGGCGCAGCGCGGAGCTCCAGCCCCTGCATTCCTTCCTTCCTTCCGTCCGTCCTTGCGTTCCTGCCTTCGCTCCGCGGCAGCGGCGGTACCGATGAGCGGGCTCCGAGCGTCCGGCGTGCGGCCGGTGCCCACCTGCCTGCTCCTGCTGGGGCTGCTCCTGCCCGCCTCCGCCGCGGGCGCGGGGTGCGAGCTGGAGGCTGCGGACGGCGGCGGCGGCGGCGGCCGGCGGGGAGGACGGGGAGGCGCGGCCGCCTCTGCGGCGGAGCCGGTGACAGGTAACGGCCCCCGCGCGTCCCGGCGGCGGGCGGGCTGTCGGTGGAGGGGTGGGACGCCGTTCTCCCGGCTTCCGCGGCGCTCCCCGGCGCCTCCGAGCTGCCTCCCGCCGCCGCGGGGCCGGGCGCGGTGCGGCTCTGCAGAGGGCGCCGGGCCGGTCTGCAGGGGGTCCGGCTGCGGCGGCGGCACTGCGGTACTGCCCGGCGCGGCCCTTCCCGGGAAGGAGCCCGCCGCAGGATGTGTGCAGGATCCTGTTGAATAGCGATATTGTTGAGATCCGGAGCCGCCCGTGCGGGTGTCCGGAGCGCCGCCGGCCGCGGCCGAGGAGCGCGGGGCGGCCTCCGGAGGGGACGGCGGGGGACCCGCCACAGCCGACTTGCCAGTCCCGCTGTATCCAGCTCTGCTCCTGCCGAGGCAGAGGTGTCCATCCCTGCCCCCAGGGGGGTTTAGTTCTCTAGAAAGTGGAAGGCATTCCAGCCTTCACTTAATTCTTTAAAGAAAAGTCACATTACCGTGCTTAGGGCAAGTGGGAATGCCTGCAATAAAAACCAGCGGTTGTACTCAAACATTTAGAGTAATCCAATTTCAGCAGGCTTTAATGGCTCTGAATTGCTGATACACATTCTGAATCTATCTTGTAATGAACAGGAAGAGGCTTTACTGTCTGTAGACAGTTCACTTAAGAAAATGGGGTTTGTACGTTAGGAAATTCTCAGAAACATTTAAAAGTGTGTCCTGTCTCATAAGGTGCTTTTCAGAAAGCTCTGTAATTGGAAGAAAGAACATGGAAGGTGGACGAAACAACAAAAACCCATATCCCTTCAGAATCAAAGTAGTGTGCATTTCTCAGAGAAAAACTTCTGATGTTGCTTGGAATGGTATTGACAGCCTGAGCTGAAAGTGCTGAACTTCCGCTGATGACACATACCTGGGTTTCTTCTCAGCCCAACACCTTAAAGACATGAATTTTAATTATAGTTAATGAAACTTCAGAAGTAGCAATGAAATAACTCCGAGGCAGAGGTGCAAGGCTACGTGATCTCGCGGTCCTGTTTGAGGATGTGGCATTTCTGAAATCTGAATTGTCCAATCTGTTGGCTTGCTGTATAAACTGAGGAAGTTGGAACATCCGCAGTCTGTGAAGCAGCAGTTGTACCTCCCAAAGGTGTTGTGGAAGTGCCGTATCGGAACAGCTCTCTCTCTTTTTGTTTTCTGATTGTGATTGATCTGGTTGTAGCTGATATTAAGCAGTTCTTACTGTGAATACTACTGACGCTGTCTACAATTTGTGCTTAATCAATTTTGATGTGTCAGTCTGTATGGAAAACACCCAATTTTTTTAATGTTTTATGAACTGTAAATGTACTGAGATGCCTATCAACTGTGTTCTCTCCCACTTAGTAGTGACTCTGGTGAAGAAGAAATACAATTATTTGAGAAATCTAATGTGTTATAAGTGGATTTATTGTATTACATGACAGTGTGGTCTGGCAAATACATATGCTTAAAAACAGTTACATCTGTAGTAACATGTAAGTTACATCTTACAAACAGTTTTAAATTTTAAGAGGTTTCAGGATAGTTCTGTGTTCATCCACTTAATATAAATGCATGTTTCAATTTGTCATGGAGGCTGTTTGCCTATCTAACTAACTGATTCCCAAATAGTTCTAAGTTACTTTTTACAAAGGTGGAAGAATTCTTGGAGGTTTGGAAAAAAACAGATTACTTTTTCAGAGGGTAATTTTAGTCATATTAGCTACCATTTTCCTAAAAGGTAAAAGTTGCAGATTCGCTGTTGAGTTAGGAGAGAATGCCAACACTTGTCTGGAGAGCAACAGAATAAACTTTTAAATCAGTAGTTTTGACTGGTTTGAGAAGTACAATCCAAAAGATAAAGAACTGCTAAATATAAAATGCTGTGCTAGGAAGAGGCTGTGGGATGTTCAGATAAAGATGTTTGGGAAACAGAGCTGTAGAAAATAATTCAGGACTTGTAGTCACAAATCGGTCCAAATGAGCAACAAACATACAGCTGGCAAAAGTAGATGCCATCCTTGGGTATGTTGATCAAGTTTAAATTGCAGAAGGCTTTTTTTCTTTTTGATTGCACATTTGTGTCTAGTTTTGAGTATTAAATCCAAAAAGTACAGAGGAATGTATCAATGTGGCTTGAGAGGTTCAGAACCTATGATTTTTTTTTTCTTTTCATGAAAATATTGCATTACTTTGATGTGGTGGAAAAGGCTGTGGGATGGGTATGTAAGAAATGGTTAACGGAAGCAGTGTGAGTTTTTAATTTTTTTTTTTTTTTTTTTTTACTGTGGTTGAGATGTACGTTAAAAGGAAGTAAATTTTAGTGGGTGTGATATAGATTAAATATAGGTTGGAAATTTTTTACCTATAACAGTCAAATTACGTAGATTGTTAAACAGGTTCCGAGTATTAGAGGTATGTTTTGGCTTAGAGAAGGAGTTGGCAAAGATAATCTAGATGCTTTACAGAAAAGGGATGTGTGATGAGTTTTAGGACTAGGGAAGAGCCTATTATTCTATTTTTGCTGTATTTCTTCAGGTATTAATGTATTTACTTAATTGAATATATAGATTATCATTAGCGTTGCCTTGTCTTATGTGTATGTGCCTGTTAAACAGTATTTTTAAATGACAGCTGAATATGTAACATGTGACACTGTGCTTGAAGGTATTTAGTCACGATTATGAAAATTGGACCAATAGAACTATGTCTCCCTTGGAGGGAACATGATGAGGATGTTTGCTGTTCACTCCGGCTCTGCTTGTTCACTACTTAATTTGGTAGAAGGTTTTAAGGAACCTTCTGTTCTAAGCTTTAAGATAACACTGGGTTTTCACATTTTCATATTCACCCAATTTTAAGTTGCTTTGTAATTCTGGAAAATTGTGGATTCTTTTCATGTTTAAATTTAATCCTTGATTATGGATTAACTTGTCTGCCTTTGGGTGTGGCAGAGAACCTGCACCTGTATTTGACTAATAATTTTCTCTCAAATTATGTCTTATAATATTTGAGACCAGTTTTAACTACAGCACTGCATTGTATTTACTGAACAAACAATAGGCAACATAATGTAACCTATTTTTTAAGTAATTCAACGATTTTTCTTTTAATTATGATTCTGTTCTGGAACTTAGCCATCATCTTAAAACTGAGCTCTTCAAATTGATCAGACTTTGGCATTTGAGAAGTGGAGGTTTTAGAAAATGTGTTTTTAGCTGCAGCTCTGCAGTTTGCTTGAGCTGTTCTAACGTGGGTGGCTGTTTAAGGGGGGCTTTTTGCTCTGGAGTTGACCCCAGCTGGCCATGCACGCAATATTGTTACCACAAGAGAGCTGGTAGCAGTAGGCATGCTTATCCCGCTACTGGAAACACGCAAGGAGGGAAGGAGTTTCACGCTCCCTTTCTGCTTTGCACTGCCTGACTTGCCCTGATGTTGTGATGGGCACTGTCTGTTGCATTGGCTTGCAGGAATGTGTCAAGAACCACAGGCAACAGGTAAAAGTATGAATTCTTTATCAGACTCTTTCCTGACTTGCTTTAAGCCTAGCACCAGTGCAAAGGAGAGGGAGGACCATGGTGTCAGGAGAGGGGAACAAGGATGGTCTGTTTCCTGTGATGGCACCTAGTGATAGTCTGAACAGAGCTGATTGTGAAACTGCATCAGTGACCTTTTTGGGGCTTGAATAATACATTTGAAATTTGGTGGTTGTGTGTGAGACTTCATGTATGGTGAGCTAATACAAAGAAGATGGTGAATCTGAGCACATAGCAAAATGCTTTTGTGTAACTAGTTTGGCATGCACCGGTCTTGAAAGTTTGTGAGCTATTAGACTTCTGTTACTTTTTTAGTAAACTGCTAGTAGTTTTCTTTAGTGATGGAGACTCAGTTAGTTTTTTGCAATTCCATTTCTTCTGTTTGTCTCTAGTAAAGCTCCTTGTAATCTAGTTTTACTATTTTTGATGGGAGGACAGAAATTTCAAGTCCTGTCTCCTCTAAAGGGTGTAAACTTCAAATTATCATTTACTTTTTGATAGCATCTCAATACTGTTACCTGTCTTTGAAATATAATCAGTTTCTCAGTTTTCTAAGTTTTTAATTTCTTAGCATGTTTTTTATTTTTAGTGATGAAGAATAGAAGAAATTCAGCAGAGATCTGTGTTTTGATAGCTCAGTCAGCAGTTGCATTGTCATAACTACGAGATACAGTTAAAAAAAGCTGTGAATGGCTGGATTTATAGACAGGTTTGAAAAAAATATTAAAAAACAATTAACCAGGAAAAATCCTGACCTTTATGTAGCTGCGTGGCATTGGACTCCCACTTGGAGATAAGACATCAAGCACTTGTAACTTCCCCTGCCCTTAACTGAGCTTTTTTACTTTACAGCCTTCCAGTGTTTTGATTGTAACTCTTCTGGTGAAGAAGTGCTTCTGCCAGTGTGTTCTGCACCTTTTGGTGTCCTGTGAGGTTTTTCCTTCACCTCTTCTGAGCATTCAGTCTAAGTATTGTTATTGACAGGTTATTTAGCTGGTATTTTTTTCTTGTGTTAGAGCAGTAGTATGTAGCAGACCCTTTCTTAATACCCCCAGTGTCGCTCCGTGGTATATTTGAACTCTGTCATCTCTCCATCAGCAGGTTTTTCTGTTGCCCTTTCAGCTCTAAGCTTTCTGAAGACAGCTCTGCTTTTCTGAGGACCTCCTACCTGATTCTGACAAGCTGGGCCTACGCAACTTGGGCATGACTCATTTTCTTCTACCCAACTCCAGGGATACTGATCTACCATAACTAGGTTGAGCTGCCGTGTATCTGTTGAGAGAGGACTGTACCCAGTGACAGGAGCCGTTGGTCTTGATAAGACTTCCCGTGATGATACTGTTACTATGAAAATCACCCAAAAATACTGGGGATTTTTAGCATTTGTATAAAGTAAGCAGTTTGATAGCCTTCTAATTGATTTTTAGATT